ACACATCTTACAATCCTATAATTAACTCATACAATTACTCCACAACTCAATTACACAATCACACCATAATTCCAATTCATAAAGTCATGCATATCCATCACAAAATTTGCTTAAGTTATCATACTTTTCCTCAATAAATTTTATGAGTTCAATCATCATAAAACATCATTCTAAGACACTTTTATCTAATACACATTTTCAATTTGAATCCCCCAACCACATCAATCACACAACACATGCTCTAGGTTCATGAAATTCAATCCAACAATTTATCCAATGAAATGTGTTGAAAATCACCAAGGGTTAAGGCTTAAGGCTCCTCCACACAATACTCAAACAATGGTTTCTCAAACAACTCCAAGAACACCAAGTTTCCTCACCAAAACCGTGGGCATGGGTCAAGGTTTTCTCCCAAATTAGTGAATTTCAAGCCTTGAGAATAGCATGGTTGGGTTTAGAATGCATTTTGACCTAAAGTTTGGTGTAGTGGAAGATGTATTTTGGTTGAGTTTTGGTGATGAAAATCCAAGAAGAAATTTTGTCTCCAATGGTGGTGAAGGCCGCGAGTTTTGAAGGAGAAGGAGGAGAGAAGGTGGAGATGCAATAGTGACTTTCCATGTGGCATAAGTCCACTTAAGTGGGTGGGTCCCACTGCCACCTCGCGTGATTCAAATTAATTCAAATCTTCCACTTAAACCACTAAACGTCCATTAATTCCAGACTATTTAGAAACTTCAATTTTTAACATTCATCAATGTCCTTTAATTGCCCTTAATCAGATGACTCCGAAGGTCGTTCGGTGAAATCACAATTTTAAGCTGTCATGTGCACTGTGGGCACGCTTCTTAAAAAACCTTAATTTCAATCAATTTTCTTCAGAAATCATAATTCTTAGTCCTATATAACATTTCCAACTTATTTTCAAACCTAGAGATCAAAATTCACGCTTTTCGGTGCAACTGTACCGCTGTATTTTTACCCGGTAAAAACATTATTCATCAAATTTCCAGAAACTTGCCTAACCACTCAATTTTTCGTTCAGAATCCATTTCCAGAGTTAGTTTTCCCATTTGAGACCTTCTACTCACATTTCATTTCCTAGGGTTACGTGTTTGGCAAATTACCGTTGTACCCTTTTTACGTATTTTGACCCAAAACTCAGGATTTTCACTAATCCTACTCTTAATCCTTATTTAAAGTATAATTACATGTTTTAAAACTACGAGGTGTTATAGGCGCGACTCACCCAGTGTTGATGTGTGGCACAAAAAAGTCAACTTTTTGACCGTAACACTTCAGAAAGCCATAACTTTTGACTCGGGTGTCCAAATCAGGTGCCTTTATTTTATTTCTCGTAACTTTTCGAGAGCTATACGTTAAAAAATACCCTGGTCAAAGTTTTTTTCCCAAAAAATGCTTCTTTGTGTCCCGTTTGGTAATTTTTATCTTTGATGTTATTTAAACTTTTACTTTTCAACACTAACAAATTATTCTCTGGAAATTTGCCACTACGTGTAATCAAAATAAAATATTACTTAATTCAAACTACCGAGAAAAAATGCTCTTGTGGTGGCACTATAGTTGCAAATAAAACAAAAATTGGAAAATTTTGTGACCAAATCCTCTTTAATGAAATGTCATTGTATAGATTTCAAAAAGTTATGTTGTATAAAAAAATACTTGATTTGGACTCCCTAGTCAAAAGTTATGGCCTTCTGAAGTTTTACAGTCAAACTGTTGACTTTTTTGTGTCACATGTCAACTCCAAACGAGTCACGCCCCATCTACGCCTAATCTGGCGCGAGTTGTCATGCTCATTTTGACCGTAATTGAGTGCATTAAATCCATAAACAGATTACAAAATATCATGTTTTCGTAATTTTTTAATTAAATAATAATATATTAATTTTTTTTTGCCATGTCTCCATCATTAAATAAGAATAGTTATGTACAGTTTAAAGGCCATTGTTGAGATTGTCATACACTTCCAAACTAATCTAAAACCCAATTCCTATTCTCCCTTGAGATTTTTTTTTCTAAAATTTAATCCCTATTCTTCTAACACCCTTAACAAACGATGTCCCTTTTTCATGTGCCATGTCATGAAGAAGGTCCTCGCCACCATTGGCGTCAATCCCACTGTCATCGAATTAGACGACCACGAGATTCTCGCCCTTCTCCATGATGATCATCATTAATCTCCCACCACCACCGCCCTCCGCAACCGCACCCCCACTGTCTTCATTGGTGGCCTCAAGTCCCTCGTCGCCCTCCACGTTATAACAACCATTATTTCTCAAATTGTTTGAAATTGACAATTACGAGAGACAGTGTGTAAATTTTGTGTTTGTTAAGGGAATTCAGTCAGTTGAATCATGAAACTATCATGATAATGAATGTAAGGATGCAATTCATGCCTAACAAGTTAATTAGAACCTAAAAAGAACATAAGTTATGTTTAGATACAAAAATACAGAAAATTGTGTAACGAGGGTATTTTAGTGGTATTGCAAACTAGGTCTGAACTGAGTTCTGACAGTCTAGTTAAATTCTCTGGTAAATTCTAAAGTTTGTATAAGTGTTTAAATATATTAATTGATGTGTAGAACAGTTAAATTGATGATGTAATTAAGGTTGTATGATGATTTATTAATGAATTGTGTGATGAAAATACAAAGAATTCCTAAGTTCTTTACTAAGCAATGAGAGGGGAAATGAAGGTTTTCCTACGTAGGTGAAAAGAGAATGAGGAGTGTGTGTGTGTGTGTGTTTAGGTCATTTGTGAGTGTGCTCACTTAACCTAATGCGTTTAAACCCATCTAACTCACTCACTTAACTTTATTCTATTTTTAACTTAAGCATTTTATAAAATTATGGAGCAATACCCACTAATTTATTTTAAGTTTCAATAATTTTGTCTACCCCCATTTTTACGCCAAAACTTACACTAGTAACACTTTTATACCAAAAGTGATTTAATTTAAATAATTAGAATTTCCTTCTAATTATCGTATTTTAATTATTAAATAATTTCCTAAAATCACAATTTATAGGTTAGGGTTATTACATCGTTGCTCCAAATCTTGGATTTTCATACTCAGCACCTCCACAAGTTAATGCTCCAAGACTTGGATTTTTCTCACTATGTGCTTGCATAAGTTATCGCTCCAAATCTTGTATATTCTTGCTCTATGCCCGCACAAGTTGTCACTTCAAAACTTGAATTTTCTTAGTCAACGTCGGCTCAAGTTGTCGCTTCAAATTTTGGATCCGCCTTCCGAGCTCTTCATTTTTAATGTATCGCAGGTCTATTTGATGTGGTTCCTCGTCTTCATTTTTTCCCTCAAGTTAAAATTCTTGTAGAGAATGCAACTCTCATAACAAGTGTTCCCATAGTTTGAAGACTCTATAACTTGTCATATTACTTATTTTTTGAAGAAAAAGTAATAATAAGAATTTTCTCCTCCTAACAAATTAATGTGCTTAAAATCTCGATGTACAAACCACCGGGTCGACCCGGAACCCGGTGAATCGGTCATTTGACCGGTTTGAGTTAAGTATCGGACCGACCATGTATCAGACCCGATGAAAACCGGTTCAAAACGGTCGGGTTTCATCAAAATCGATGACCCGATTTTGTCATCAAAATTGGCAAGTCATGCATTTTTATAAAAAAAAAGCCAAAAACCAAAGTTGTCTCATCATGTCTTAAAAAAGTGTGGAACTCCTTTAAATTTTTTATTTTTTTTGTAGTTTTGTTTGCTAATAGTATACTCTCCTACAGTAACATCAAACTTCAGCTTCAAAGACTGAAGCAATTTGTGGAACAATAGATTAGAAGAATTTGACATTGATTCTTACAAATCCATTTTTATGGGAAGAGTTATTGATAAATGCCTCATTAAATATGGTTAGTTGAAAATATTTGGTAGATGAATTATATGTAGTTAACTAATACTTGAATTTTCTTTTTTCTTTGCTTATTTCTTTTACAATATATTATATGTGGTTACCATATATAGCTTTCTTTTATTCCTTCAAAAACTAAATGTTTGCATCCCTGCATAATAATTTTCTATATATATTTGAGTATTTTTATATAGGCTTTAATATTTTTACAATGAATGTGGATAAATTATCGACATTCACTCTCAAAACGACGTCATTTGTCATTTTGAGTTGAAAAATGAAAAAATTATAACGAGAAAGATTATTATAATCCTGAAATAAATAGTAATTATAAAAATACCTTAATTTTCGCTCTAAAATAACATAATTTTGAACTTAATATAAATAATTTATTTACATTGACCGCAGAAAAAATAAATCCATTTATATATAAGTATATGTTTTTATGTATTAACCCGAATTATACAGTTCAAAGCGATGATGCACAACTAAAGATCTAGTAATCCAATACCCTAACATGATTAATAATCGGGCAGGTCTGATAATATTAGGACAAACAATCAGAGATGCGCATCCAAAAAATAATGTCATGCTTGTACAATTTTGAAAAATTAAAATAAAATAAGCCACGTCATTTTGTACATGCAGTAAAGCACAGACACATATATACAGGACAGTCATAGTCAAATCTAACGAGAATCCCTTCCTATCAAATGGTGGGATAAAGTTGTACCAAAGATTCAATGCATCCCACCAATGAAAATATTACATGTCAGTTAATATTTTTTTTTCTGTCAAATTTTTTTTCTCTCATCTGATGTGTAAAGTCTCTCATTCATGAGATGAACGGAATCTAAGTACAGCAGTAATACTAAAGATTTGTTCCAAATGGTGGTAGCTCAGTTGACACATGATAGCTAAGCAGGTGGGGATGAGAACATGTGTTCGAATCTCCTTCCCCAGTACCACTTTTGGAAAGAGTGTAAAACCTTAATCTGTACCCACCCCGAATCAGATAAGTTGCAAAAAAGAATCAACCAATTGAAATATTAAAAAAAAGAAAGAAAAAGAATCCCTTCTAATCAAAACCAACACACACACTCCCATCATCTCCTGTTACAGAAAAAGAAAAAAAGAAACCCTTGTTTTGCTTCCATTGCAGCACAGCACACACCCAAACCCTCATGCCTTGTCGGCGAACCAACCCAACCCATTGAGCTCGCAGAAACCTGGCCTCTATGTCAGTCAACTCCGAACTTTAGAGTGCTTTCGAGCTCTATTTTTGTTTTTTTGTTTTTCACTATTTTTGCTGATTTTGGGGGATCACTGAGGGTTTCATGTACTGTTTTGGGGGTTTGGAACTGAGAGAGATTGTTATTTTGTTTTTGTAGCAATTAAATTATGTACGTGGTACCTCCACCTCAGCGATCGAATCCGGGTTCAGGATCCGGTGATTTGCGGGTTTACCAAGCATGGAAGGGTAGTAATGTGAGTTTTGGTTGTGGATTTTATTTCTTTGGTTATTTCTTTCGATTTATTTATTATTTTTAATGGGATTTTGCTTATCAATTTGTTATTGGGTTTGTTACGATTCTGTTCTAAAAATACTCTCTCTTTCTTTTTTTATTCCCTGATTGTTTAATGTTTTTTCTTTTAATTTGTGGTGGAATTCAGTTTTATCGTAAGGGGAAAGTTACATGAAAAATGAAAATGACTGGTGAGGTGAAAATGATACCCATTGATTTGATTAATGAGGATTCATGTCTTTAAGGCTGCTGTTTCAGTTAGGTTCGGAAGCAGCATTAGTAAAATGACCTATGATGGTGACCTTTTATTAGTTTTGTTTGTTTAGTTGTTTTGTGGAGTTTAAGCTAGTTTGTTTCGAGTACTAATTTACACTTGGGTCATCAACATTTTTTGTTGCTTTTTGGTCCTCTTTGATTTATCTGGTGAAGTATATATCCACAACTTCAATAATTTCATGCTTCCTCAAATATGCTGAGAAAATCAGAAATCCTGCTATCTTTGAGTAACTTAACTAAAATGAAGCAATCTGAATATCAGTTTCCTTTGTCAGGTTGCGTTAGTAACGAGAATTGTTGGGGCTTAATATGTGAAATTTTTGGAACAGAAATTAAATTTGAATTAACAGATTTGTATGTGCTTTTGCTGTTGAGCTGGCATTTTCTATGTTGTAATATCTGAACGTTGAATCTTTGTATTAAATACATAGCATACATAAAGTTACCTAAATACCATTGTAACTGTTTCTTGATTTTGCAGAGTCACTTGATAAATCTTAATTTTTTTCAGAATTCAGACCTGAAAATTTTGGAAATGCAATAATAAAATGAGGTTATGACAAGGATAGTGGATTGATTGGCCAAACGATTTAGTTGGGAAGTAAATGTAATTGCTAGTTATTTTGTCAAGATGATATATTGAATTTTGGCTGAACCCTTGTCACTGAATTTTGACAGTACCGACTGACATAAATTATTTTGGCAAATTCTTTATATTGCGAGTTAAAAGTGTTTTCCGAGTTTATATCTCATATTTTCTTTTCAAAATTCCACAGAATTCTTCTAGTGATTTTGTAATAATGTAGACACATTAATTTTTTTCATCCCTTTCCTGCAGAAATTTTTTCTTCAGGGCAGGTTCATATTTGGTCCAGATGTAAGATCGTTGGCCCTGACGTTTTCTTTTATCATTGTTCCTGTTGCAGTTTTCTGTGTCTTTGTTGCCAGAAAACTGTTAGATGATTTTTCTGATCACTTGGGGATAACCATAATGGCCGTTGCTGTTGTATTCACAATTTATGTGAGCTCCTTTCTCTCTCATACACACAGATACACACACAGTTTTTTTTTTTTTTTTTTTCTTTTTCACTCTATTTTCAACAGCTTTGATAAGACACTTTGTTTATAATCATGAGAAGCATTGCCTTATGTTGCAACTCACAGACACTTGTTTGAAGTAAGCTAGAATCTGGATTTTGGTTAACTTCTGAAATAAATACAACTTGGTTGATGCCCTTTCTATTTTTCAGCTGCTTACTTGAATGATAACTAAAACAAAACTAGCCATATGAAACTAATATGTTAAAAGGAGTGCAGCTAACACAATTAACAAAATATGGAATCAACAGCTAAACCAAATTATGGGATGCTGTCATTTTGTTTAGATTGAAGAAAATATTTTATTTAGGGAAACAAAGATTACAAAGAGAAGATGGATTGGACATCCTCCTCCTTAATTAAACCAATAATCTAGCTGTAGAAGTCTTTTTGAAAAATTCCATAAATTTGATGGCTATGAGAAGCCATGGATACAATATATTCCATATGAAGTATAAGGATGATGATTTCCCCTTAAGTATCCAAGTATTTATAGCTAACTAGAGATACCAAATGTCAGCATTTATAGCACACTGTGATAAAATTTTACTGTCCTTTCTTTTTCCAAAACCTTTTAACTTAATTGAAGATAAACTGCTCCAAGCAATGGGGTTCTGAGAAATCACTTTTACTAAGGCGTGTGCTATATAAGGAAGGGGATGGGATGTAGAGGATCAACTCATGTCGGTAGGAGGGAAGAATGGGAAATAAAGAGGGATGTTCATGTTGATAATCTGGAGCACCACCAAATCCTGAGCTAGCAAGCAATGGTGGGAGGAGGTGGGAATTTGGTTGTGGGAAATGAGAATATAGGAGGGAAGAGTAGGAAATGTGAGGGCAGTCAGGAATTGAGTGGAAAAGTGTTGGAGGTTTGCTGGTCCCTCAAAGCACCTGCCGTATCTTTTCTTGTGTTCGAAGAGTGGGTGACGGGAGTAATCACTCACTGTTAATACCATCTCTGCGATGAACTGATATCATCTAATATCAGATTCAGTAGGAAATTCTGAGTGGAAAATTGAGTAAAACATTGCTGTCATCAGCACACAATAAAACAGTTCCAAGATTCATCAAACACCTAAAAAATCCCTCTACATTTTGATGATATACAGGAAATTCTGAATATGCAGTTGTTTCTGAATTAGCAGTTAGAACAGTACATTATACATCTATTAGGAGACAAAGCTTTCGTAGGTCTACCATCTACAATCCTGCAATAAACTACTGGCTGTAATTCTATTGTGGATTCTCTAAATGAAGGACCGGACTTCAGAAGGAGCTCTGGGTTTCCAAAAGGACTTCTCCAGAAAGTGTTTCTCTCTATTTGCAGAATATGTAAGAACATGGAAGGACTTATGTTTGGTATCTGAAACGGAATCTGTAACATTAATGTATAAGCTGTCCGTGCACGGGCTTTGAAATTGATATAAACTTATTAGGGTGTTATTGGTTTAGAGACAGTGTACAAATTCAGCCCAAAAGGATGGAAATACAATAGAAAAAGAAGAAACACTGCAGAAACTTTGAGGGTCCTGCTTCCTCCCATTCGGATACCTTTCTCTCTTCTATCCTACCACTCTATCAAATTTCCACTACCTCTTACTAGGGGTGTAAATGGGCTAGGCCGGCCTACAAGGGCCTACGGCCTAGCCTATATATTAGGCCAGACTTGGCCTATTATAAGTAGTAAAATAGAATAGGCCTAGGCTTTTAAAAAAACCTATTTAGAAAATAGGTCATAGGCTTTTTTATACATGTCGGGCCTATAAGCCTACAGGCCGGCTTATATCATATTATTTATTTAAAATATAATAAATAAAATTATTATTTAATAATTTTGAATAATAAAATAATAATATTTTAGTTATTCGTTTAATTGTTGAATGTTTAATAGGCTTAAACAGGCTTAGGCCAAGACTTTTATTTTTTGAATATAGGTCAGGCCAGACTTGTAATTTGGAGCCTACACAGGCTAATAGGCCGGGCCATACCCAATGTTTTTTACACAGGCTTGACCTATTTAAGCCAAAGCCTAGTCTAGCCCAGCCCATTTACATCTCTTACACTCCCCTCACTATTTAATAGAAAAGAAGGAAAAAGTTTTGAGAGAAATTCTTTGAATATTATGTTACTGACTAAAATTGCCTCAGATTATTATAGTGAAGGCTTTTATAGATGCAAATGTTAACCGCCTGTATAACTCACTGTCTGACTCAACAAGAGTCAGATAATTATCCTAACAGTCTATTCTAACAGACTAACAAAACTATTCTAACAAACTAGCTTTCATAGCGGTAGACAGAACAGTATCATATTAACATGCTCTTAACACAGTTGAATCCTGCTCTCACCCAATATCTTTGTGCCATGCGTCCATTCTATTATGCTGGAGGTCCTCAACTTCAATATTCTTCTTGACTTCTGTTAAAATATCTAAAGATGTTGTATAATATTAAAATTATATCTTAATACAATTTAGAGTATTCTACAGGATATCTTAGGATTAATTTCCTTGTTTCTTTATTTTTCATGGTTTGTTTCCTTATTTTAGGAGTCCCCTATTTAGTATAAATATGAACTAATGCTTTGTCCTTTGTAATAATATCACTCACCTGGTAACAAATTGTAGAATATGTAGAATATTCTAGATAGTAATTTATTGATGTAGTTAGTAGTTGTATATTTAGTTGGTAGTTGTATATTTATTGATGTAGTTGGTGGTTGTATATTTATTAAAGTAGTTGAGGTAGTTGGATGTACTCAATATAAAAAAGACCCATTGGTTCTCTCAATGAATCAAGAAAGTATTATTTAGACAAAACCATAGTAGTTAAAAGCGCCGCTAAAGCGGCGCTACCCGCAACGTTTGCGGGTTGCGGTGGTCGACCACGAGGAAAAACTCCGCACCGCACCGGAAAGGGATCGCGTCTGTAGCGGCCGTAATAGCGGAGGAAATCACGTCTGTCGCGTCTGTTTCGAAAAAATCACGGCTGAAATAGAGCTCTCCTCTCTCTCTTCTGAGTTACAAAGACGGAGACGAGAAGAAACGCACGTGACTTGTCCTTTGAATCTGATATGTATTATAATATATTTTCCAAGACTTTTTACTTTATAAAATGGAGAGCTTTCTCTCTCTTCTGAGTTCTTTTGAGTTTTGACTGACATACTTTTTACTTTATATTTTTGCTTTTTTTTTTCTTGCGTCCTATTTTGATTTTCTTTTCCAGGTTTTTTTATTTTATTTTTTTGGCTGCTTCCCCTTTTTTTGGGTTTTCTTTTTTACCTAATCTGAGTTCTTTTGACCGACATGCAGAAACTGAAAAGTTATTTTGTTTTTTATGAGTAGATATAGCCAAAAGCTGGACCTTTTTGACCGACATATTTTTTATCCTATCAGCTTCTCTACTTTTTTGACCACATATTTTTGTATCCGATCATATATATATATATATATAGATAAAATATATATTTTTATATATTATCTACCTTTTTGACCGACAAACTTTTGTATCCTATCATATATATATATATCCTATCTTATCAGATATTACAATTACAATCATCTTTTCTCTACCTTTTTGACCGATATTTTTTTTTTTATCATATATATATATATATATCGGATATATCTTCTCAGATATTACAACTACGATCATATTTTTTTGTATCGGATATATATACTCAATATTACAACTAATCTTCTTAGATATTATAACTACAATCATATTTTTTGTATCCGATATATATATATATATACTCAGATTAGTATATTTTTTTGTATCCGATATATATATACTCAGATATTACAACTAATCTTCTCATATATTACAACTACAATCAGATTTTTTTGTATCCGATATATATATATGTGACCAACAAATTATTATTTAACAGAGTCTCCTCTCTTCTTATCTCTTATTCATTTGAAGGGCTTTCTCTTTTGACTGGAAATCATCTCTTCTCTATTCCTAGGTAATGTTCTTTATTTATTTATTTATTTGCTTTTTTTTTTTCTAGCGTCCTATTTTAATTTTCTTTTCCAGGTTTTTTTATTTTATTTTTTTGGCTTCTTCCCCTTTTTTTGGGTTTTCTTTTTTACCTCTTCCGTTTTTTTTTTGACCTATTTTTTTCTAGCCTCCTAATCTTTTTGTCTGACAAAAAAATAAAAAGATCATTATTGCTATGTTGTCTAGTGATATACATTATATTGAAGATGACAACGATGATATGTGGTCCCTAGATAGAAAAATAACAAAATTGAGATTAGCTTTTTTGCATTCCTATCCTGATTTGTGGTCCCGGCGACAAAAAAAATTAAAATTTATTTTAGCTTTTTTCTGATTTCTATTTTATTTTTTGTTTGCCTCTATAATTATAAATATAGCTAGTGATGGCATCCAACAACAGCACACAAGAATCTCCTTCTTCTTGTGCTTTGGTTAAACCCCCGGGTCCTTATCGTGATATAGCATGGCAATGGAATTCCTTGAAGGATATCAATAATAAAAGAAACGTGACATGTGACTTCTGTCAGAAGACAACAACAGGTGGAATTACCAGGGCTAAATTACACCAGATGGGGATAAAGGGAGATGTAGAGCCATGTAAGAAAACCCCAAGAAGTAAAACATGCTTTGAAGGAAGCGTATGAGAAGAAGCTAGTTGATAAAAATGCTTCCCTAAATGAGCTACAAGAAGATGATGACGAGCTTGAAGATGTGGAAGAAATCCATAACCTTAGAACTAGAAAAAAGGGAGTAACACCCAGTAGTGATTCCTCTATTGTTGTTGCCAAGAAAGGCAAGACTGTGAAAGGTCCCATGGACTTCTTTTGAAAAAACCAGAAGACAACATCAAGAACATCAAGTTAGGGAAAAGGCAAACAAGCATCAATGATGCTTGTGATAAAGAAGCTAGAGCAAGAAC